GTTGTGGCTGCGTGGTGTTATCAGTGTCCTTGTGGGATGTGTCAACCACATGACGACTCAGACCAGGTGTGTGCGTGCTATTCAGGCTGAGTGGATTGACACACTCTGCTGAAGGCTGACAAAGGGAGAAGTAGATATTGCACCAAGTTTGTTTGGGTGGAGGCCATCCGGTTTAAACAGTTGGCTGTGCTCGGCTGTGCTCTGAGCTGAAAGCCGCTGTCTGCTTAATGTTTCAAATCTGTTCTCAAGATGTATAGGGGGTGGTAGAATACTGCCGGTTCCCGCCTCCTTTTTCCCGATCTACAAATTACGTTACATTGGTGCCGAAACCCGGGAGGAAGGAGGGACACGCTGTCAGAGATGCCATTTTTGTTTGTACTTCTCTTTTTCTCCTGGTTATGGGCAGACAGGAAGAGAGGGAAGTTTTATGTACCTAGAAAAAGATAATCCAAAAATAAAGTAATTTATAAATATTCTTGGGGTAGTTATTTTGGTTTTGTTTGTTATTTTGGCCTAGCTCTCCCCTGGGGCCCATTCTTCGTACGTCGCTAACTCAGTTAGCTGGATTTGATCATTGATGATTTGGCATGATCTTGGATTGTTTGGTTCTTCGAAGCTCATACTGGATTTGCTGTCATAGCAACAGGTCCGTAAACTTAAACCTGCTCGGGAGCAGCTTATTTCATGTAAACAGGATTAGATGGACAATAATTTTAAATAATAATAATTTTTAAAAAAAATTGAAAATAATATTATAATGTTGTGTAATCTATAATACTATAGACAGCCAGTTTTACTAATTGAAAGATTTATTCGTGATAAAATAACTTTATAACTGTATTATAGTCTTACACACATACAGTTAATCTCAAAGTGCATTAATTTGAGTGCTGACAGATATTATGGGAGTGGCTTGATGGAGCGCAGGAGATGCAGATAACATGATCTTGACCCTTAAGAAACTTTAATTAACGCTGTCACATAACAAATCTGCTTCAAAGATAAAATTACATGAATTGCTAACTACAACATTGAACTAAAAATGTAAAGCCTGTACAAATACTAGTAATTGTGAATATAAATAATTGGGAATCATGTAAAAAATAAAATAAAATAAAAACAAAAACAGTGCACATTTCATTTATCTATTATAAAATTTACGTAGTTTTGTTCACTTGGCTGTTTCCTTATAAAGGTCCAGAAATTTGTAAAGTTTTTCGTCAGGTGTCTTATTTAATTATATGATGTCATTACGTTGCTGTCTTGCCGCCAGCCAATCGCTGCATTGCTGATCGTGGTTTCGAGTATCGATACATCTGCCCTTTACGGGGAACACGAGAACGCGCAGTAATCTTAGACAATTTACTCCAGATATTTTAATCAAATACACAAATTCGTTTGAAGAACCAAATTAGCCAGAGATCAGTTATAACATTTAGAAGATCTGGCATCTTTCAAATCATCTCAGATTTAAGCGAGTTATGAAGAACGGGTCCCTGAAGTCTTTGTTCCCTATATGTTTGTTAACACTTCCTTTGAGATTATGGTTTCTGTTTATCTTTTCAAATTAAAAAGATATTAATTCAAATTGGTGTTTGTTGACTCTGGGACGGGAGGTTGGATTGCCCTGGCTCTCCAAGGTTTTTTTTTTTCCTTTAGATATTTTCTTATTTTTTTACTGGCTCCCCAGCCCTAGATGGGTAGGTATGTAACAATTAGGGGCTCATCTGTTCTTTTTTTTTTTGCTTATTTGAGACATTTGTTAATTGATTTAATAACTTGGAGATGTGTCTCTTGTTAGTGAATCAGTTATGAAATTTGCTGCTGAACACCATTTCAATGGGGAAGTCGTGGCCTAATGGTTAGAGAGTCGGATTCATAACCCAAAGGTTGCGGGTTCGAGTCTCGTACCGGCAGGGATTGTAGGTGGGGGGAGTGAATGTACAGCGCTCTCTCCCACCTTCAATACCACGACTGAGGTGCCCTTGAGCAAGGCACCGAACCCCCAACTGCTCCCCGGGCGCCGCAGCAAAAAAAATGGCTGCCCACTGCTCCGGGTGTGTGTTCACGGTGTGTGTGTGTTCACTGCTGTGTGTGTGCACTTTGGATGGGATAAATGCAGAGCACTAATTCCGAGTATGGGTCACCATACTTGGCCACATGTCACGTCACAATTTGTTGGCAAGTACTCCTTTCTCTACGAGTTTGTTTGGAAGTCTTTGAAATCTTGTGGGAGGGGCAAAGGCATTAATTGTAACAGTATGGATTTTGATTTGATAGAATTCTCTCTTAATCATACTACAGAAGTTTAATGATCGCTAATGGTACAATTAAAATAAGTATTTTTTAGATTTAATTTTAAAACTACATTGTTTTCTTTAACTGTAGAAGCTGCTAAATATATTCAGCCAACAGACTTGCTACTGCAGTAGTTTTGTTACTCTGAATTTAGTCTAAATCATTTAATGCACAGCTCTATTTTTTTTTAAAATTTACATCGGCTCGTCAGAGGTTTTGTTCCATCTGTTGCTTTATCACTGTCAATCACCGCATCGACTCGTAATTTACCCTAGTGTTTGTAATTCCTGAAACATTATACCGTACAGGCTGACTAGTAAAAGTTCATAAAGTACAACTTTAAACTGTACTTCTTAAAAATGGATGACGTGTACAGAGGAGAAACTGCATCTGCAGTCATCGGTCACTCTTGACCATCTGAAGAACCTCCATGAGAAGACAAAAGTATAAAGACTCTGCAAAAGGTGTGGAAAGCAGCAGCAGCAAAAAGAAAAAAAAATGACCAGGGTTTAAATTGGGCCGGGACCAACCGAGGCTCATTTAAATTTTAGGCGGAACACAGCGCAGCTCACAGCAACCAGCCATTTCAGTGCTGATTGAGTCAGTGTTCTGAACGAATCAGTTGAGGAAAGTTTCATTAGCCCATGCATAAACCTCAGATGAATCCGCCGTGTGAACGAATCATTTGAATGAACGACTCCCTCATTAAACACTCACTACTGGCACTTTAATTTAATTGAAAAGTACAATTTCCACCAACATTTCTAGTTTGTATATTCAAAAATACTTATGAGATTCTTTTATTTAAAGCAGTTGCATTTTTCAGCGTAAATTTAATTTGATAACAGATCACATTATTATAATTGAATTTATAGATCAAATGTAAGAACCTGAAATGAAAGTATTAATGAGTAGTGGGGAAAAAATAAAAAAATAAATAAAGTCACAGCTGATAGAAAACTTATGAGAATATTGCTTCAGAATAAATCATTTGCAATAGACAAAAACCACACACCTCAATCAACTCAAACCGCAATTATCTTTATTAGATGGGGGGGGGGCACGCACAGAGAAAGACAGAAATCTCTTAACTGTTTGAGCAAACATGGAAAACATGCCATATGAATAAAGCACTCAATTGAAAAGATCACCAGTAAGTGTTATGCAAAACGCCCATTTCAATAACCACTTCCCCCACCTTTAACACTTCCCCGACCATGACCACTTTCCCAACCACTTCCCCGACCAGGACCACTTTCCCGACCTTGACCACTTCCCTGACCACTTCCCCAGCCACTTCCCTGACCTTGACCACTTCCCCGACCACTCTTTTTTTTGTAAAGCCATCCTGGGTTTAAAACTATCCTAAGGGATGAATTCAAACCATAGATTGTAAAAACACATGGATGTAGTGTCCGTGACATCACTCGTAGTTTCCTGAAGAACATTTGAAGCCTAAAGTGGGCGGAGCTGACCACCACCATCTTGGCAGCACGTCACTCCCAGATAATCGAAAAAGGGCAAAAGGTGGGATGTGGGTGAAGCGGAGGTGCCTGGTTGCTGAAACCACGCCCGTCTATAGTGACAGCAGTGCAGCCGTGCAAAGACAAAACACCATAAATTTGGTTTGTCAAAAAAAAAAAAAGTTATTGATAATTTTGGGACATACATGACCTCCTTTATCATGTGTACAAGTACCTTGGAGAAAAGCCCCAGAGAAACCAAAGCAGAACACAGTATCATCAGTTACCGCTCTTTGATTTTGTTTTAGATTGCTCAAATTAGGTTACGGTGCTCTGCATTTGTTTAGCTGTTTGTCAATTACTGTGCAGGTCTGGAGTTATACGGTATTCTGCCTTTGTTTCACGGTCCATTAAAGTCTGCCGCATTTAAATTACAGTGCGACTGGTGTACTTTCATACATCTGTTGGCACTTCTTTAGACAAATTAAAATCACGATCTAACAAACTGTAAACAAGCAACAACTAGATAACTTGGCAACAATAACTAATCGTAAACCTTAAAAAAAAAAAAACCAACAAAAAAAACAAACAGATGCCAGCTGTCAGTCTGGGGCCGCCCACTTTAGCACGTGTGGTGAGGAGTCGAATGCCTCAACAGCGCATCACAAAATCAGTAACGGTTTGCAATTAAATCCATTTACTACCTTTTCTTGTAACGCTATAAAAATCCATTGCAAAGAATGTCATCGGAGAGGTTTAGTTCACAATCATTGAGCATTATTCCGGCTGGCGTTCACATCAATCCACAAGTTGTTCTTCTAGGTTAAGCTATTTTAATTCAGTTCAATGTAAAAAAAAAATAAAAAAATAAAAATATAGGCCAAGTAGGTCTTGCATCCTTTAATGTTAGCGAACATTGCAAATAAATTAGTTGCAAAACAGTATCCAGTCACATTTAACTTGGTCTGGTTGTTACGGTCAGAAAACTAAATAAATTTGAAACCACATTACTATACGTTATAGCCTAGCCAATGAGAACTAGATTTTATACAGATGTTCCTATAATGATTCTGTAAATGGTGATTCAGCACCCAAATATTGTATATAACGTTACTGCCTTTTGCCTTGGCGTGACATCACTTTTTGCAGACAGTGCAAAGGCAGAGTACCTACAATAACAGTAAAAATCAAGTTTGAGATCACTTATTAAAACATCTAATTGCCAGATTTCCAGTGTCCTGCCCATAATTTCTCTGGATAAACAAAAATCTTTAAAGCCATTTTTCTAAGTTTCACACTCTGGAGCAGAGCGGCAGTCCAACCGTCACTCAAGTGGCCACGCCCTTAATTATGCAGAATTTTAAGGCTTAATATAAATTTTAACGGATGAGTTAAACAAATTCACCCCCCTCACAGTTGTCATGAAGGGCAAAATTACCTATATAGACCAAAACCACTTTTTGTACCAGGCTGTAAAAATTCCTCAGCTGTAAAGTTGGGCATTTTAACATGGCAGGTCTATGGCACTGACTCCCTTTTAGAGCCGGCCTCTAGCGGCCAGTCGATGAACTGCAGTTTTAAGTAACTTCCATATTGGTTTCAAGTGAGACCGGGAGGTTGGCGCTTGATTCAAACCTACTTAACAACATAAATACCTTTATATGGAACCCTACAGTAACGTCCACATCCATTGCTGCAGCACTTCTCATTGTTGGGACAGTTGGAGTCACTGTTACAGGACGTGGTACACGATTTTATTCCAGATGATTGGGGTGGACACACTCCAGGCTTTGCTATCATTCAGACCCAAGACAGAAAGAATCACTGAATGCTGAACATCTTCACTTAAATGAAGTTTTTAAAATAACATTTCAGTCTCTGTTTAAAGACATATTGAACTCAATGTGTTACTTTTTTTAGGACCCCTAGAGGGTTCAAGAGGATCACTAGGGGAGGCCAGGGAGTGCGGTTTCAGCATTTGGAAAGCAGGGGTTTTGCAATACGCGTCTCAAACCTTAATAAATTTTACATTTATCTGCTTCCAAAAAACAAAACAAAAAAAAAAACAAAGTTAAAACCTACTACTCATCGCTAAACTGTGAGTCACTTATTTCTGCATTTCTTCAGACTGTGTAATTAAGTTAACAGATATTCTCACCTGTGGTTTTTCCTGGAGTAGCGTCTGTAATGCTCAAATATCCAGACAGACACAAAACAGCAATCAACGAGCAATACACTCGAGCTGTCATCCTCCCGATCTGTGATCTCACAATGATCTCTGCTGGAAAACGCGCTGAATTGGTGCGTCAGGAGCAGCGGACAGTGAAGCGCACAAAGTTAAAACGAATAACCGTGTTGCTGCAACATAAACCTCTGTAAAATGGGGTTTTAAAGATCCAAGGAGATCAGGTCAACTCCAACCCTGATCAAACTCACCTGTCTGTAGTTTGCTAGTAATCTGGAAGACCTTGATTAGCTTGTTCAGGTGTGTTTGATTGGGGTATTACCTATATAGACCAAAACCACTTTTTGTACCAGGCTGTAAAAATTCCTCAGCTGTAAAGTTGGGCATTTTAACATGGCAGGTCTATGGCACTGACTCCCTTTTAGAGCCGGCCTCTAGCGGCCAGTCGATGAACTGCAGTTTTAAGTAACTTCCATATTGGTTTCAAGTGAGACCGGGAGGTTGGCGCTTGATTCAAACCTACTTAACAACATAAATACCTTTATATGGAACCGTACAGTAACGTCCACATCCATTGCTGCAGCACTTCTCATTGTTGGGACAGTTGGAGTCACTGTTACAGGACGTGGTACACGATTTTATTCCAGATGATTGGGGTGGACACACTCCAGGCTTTGCTATCATTCAGACCAAAGACAGAAAGAATCACTGAATGCTGAACATCTTCACTTAAATGAAGTTTTTAAAATAACATTTCAGTCTCTGTTTAAAGACATATTGAACTCAATGTGTTACTTTTTTTAGGACCCCTAGAGGGTTCAAGAGGATCACTAGGGGAGGCCAGGGAGTGCGGTTTCAGCATTTGGAAAGCAGGGGTTTTGCAATATGCGTCTCAAACCTTAATAAATTTTACATTTATCTGCTTCCAAAAAAAAACAAAAAAAAAAAACAAAGTTAAAACCTACTACTCATCGCTAAACTGTGAGTCACTTATTTCTGCATTTCTTCAGACTGTGTAATTAAGTTAACAGATATTCTCACCTGTGGTTTTTCCTGGAGTAGCGTCTGTAATGCTCAAATATCCAGACAGACACAAAACAGCAATCAACGAGCAATACACTCGAGCTGTCATCCTCCCGATCGATGATCTCACAATGATCTCTGCTGGAAAACGCGCTGAATTGGTGCGTCAGGAGCAGCGGACAGTGAAGCGCACAAAGTTAAAACGAATAACCGTGTTACTGCAACATAAACCTCTGTAAAATGGGGTTTTAAAGATCCAAGAAGATCAGGTCAACTCCAACCCTGATCAAACTCACCTGTCTGTAGCTTTCTAGTAATCTGGAAGACCTTGATTAGCTTGTTCAGGTGGGTTTGATTGGGGTAAGATGAGCTGAACGCTGCGTTCACGCCATGTCATAATAATTAAGGAAGCCTAATTACGAGAGGATTGTGCGTTTCTATGGCGACACCGGGTGCTTCTCAATTCTTATTTGTGCATCCTCGCTTCCTTTCCTCGCGTCTTAGCTCCACCCCTTCAGGATGCGAGGGAAGGACGCAAGGATCCTGGAGTAGCGTCTGTAATGCTCAAATATCCAGACAGACACAAAACAGCAATCAACGAGCAATACACTCGAGCTGTCATCCTCCCGATCTGTGATCTCACAATGATCTCTGCTGGAAAATGCGCTGAATTGGTGCGTCAGGAGCAGCGGACAGTGAAGCGCACAAAGTTAAAACGAATAACCGTGTTGCTGCAACATAAACCTCTGTAAAATGGGGTTTTAAAGATCCAAGAAGATCAGGTAAACTCCACCTGTGGTTTTTCCTGGAGTAGCGTCTGTAATGCTCAAATATCCAGACAGACACAAAACAGCAATCAACGAGCAATACACTCGAGCTGTCATCCTCCCGATCTGTGATCTCACAATGACCTCTGCTGGAAAATGCGCTGAATTGGTGCGTCAGGAGCAGCGGACAGTGACGCGCACAAAACTAAAACGAATAACCGTATTGCTGCAACATAAACCGCTATAAAATGGGGGTTTAAAGATCCAAGGAGCTCAGGTCAACTCCAACCCTGATCAAACTCACCTGTCTGTAGCTTTCTAGTAATCTGGAAGACCTTGATTAGCTTGTTCAGGTGTGTTTGATTGGGGTAGATGAGCTGAAGATGAGCGTTCACGCCATGTCATAATAATTAAGGAAGCCTAATTACGAGAGGATTGTGCGTTTCTATGGCGACACCGGGTGCTTCTCAATTCTTATTTGTGCGTCCTCGCTTGCTTTCCTCGCGTCTTAGCTCCACCCCTTCAGGATGCGAGGGAAGGACGCAAGGAAAAGACGCGAGGATGGAGGAATTGAATCAAGTGAAATGACATATCCTCGCTCCCTTTAGCATCACTTCAAAGCGTTATCAGCTGCGCTAAAGGGATCTGTCCTTATGTTGTTAAAGTTTGTTATTTAAGACATTCATAATAAATATGAATAAAGCAAGATGCCCTGTTTGAAATACATGACGTGTGGTTTATTTAAACTGAAACAGATGTGAAGGGGGAGGAAAATGTATACGTGCATCAGGTTTTTGTATGAAAAACACTTCCGCAAAGGATACAGTGTGTACAGGATACTCGCTCATCACTCCTCTGGAAGCCTCCTCACTCCTCGATCCTCGCGGTGC